AAACCATTGCAGCGATCATGTGAGCAGCTATCAGGTGATACCCTAAACCCGAAACCCGAAGCCCTAAACCCGAAACCCGAAGCCCGAAACCCGAAACCCTAAAGCCTAAACCCTACCATCGCTCGCCGTGGAGGATCTTCGAAGGGCCCTCTTCCGGGGTTTCGGTTCTGGGCACAGTCGAGTGAAAATTGGGGGTACGTACCTTATTTTGGGGTCCTTTTTATAAGGATCCTACAATCTAGGGTCCTATATTAGGGCCCCCTATTTTGGGAAACCCCCATTTGGACAAAACGATCGAAAGTCCAGAATGCAAGGGGCTACCGATGACACTTCGAAGGGGTGTGGGGGAACCCGTGCAGTGTGCTGCGGCCGCTTGCAGGGCTGTGGGTTGCAACTCGAACGGCCTGCAAAGTCTAAGGTCAAGGGGGCAAAGAATCACAGTGAGACGCTAGGAAGGCAACCTGGAGGAAGCGGATGGAAGTTGAGGAAAGACGAAGACGTGATCTGCAGCAACCTGAGGCAGTCTCATTCAATGGGGAGCCTGTCCCATCAGCCCAAACTGCCATCTAGGAGGACTTGCTCCACTTCTTCGCATCAGGATCCTCCAGAAATGCCTGTTAAATCACATGCAACGAGCTCTTCTTGGTACCCGAAGAAGCCGAGGGTCAAGACACATGAAGCATCAAGTTCTTGCTTAGGGCCTAGGTTTCCTGCGAAGGGTGAACTCAGTGGAAGGCAAGGAGAGATGCTACCGACAGTTCTGACCTGCGACGACAGCGAAATATTAGCTACTAGAACTGCTAGTACTGCTAGTTCTGGGTTCTATACCTCAACATAACTATGTTCGTGGCCAGAGCTGTAGCCGCCGTGATTCGTCCTATCGCTCGTGCCTGTGCTAGCGCTTGTCGCCATGGCTACATGGAGCGACATCTAGACTTTAGACTTAATCATGGCGCGGCCACTATGTCGACGCGCGCAGCGTTGGTACTGCTCTTACTCTCATCAGGAATGCCGCAACTACTATAGTTTTGCTGATTATACGTGCCGCTTTGTAGCCACCGCTACAGCGATGATCATGTTTGTTGGTATAGTTTCAAGCTACTATCACCGCCATGGACGACTGCGCCTTGCGGCTATGTGTGGTCCTGTTGCCGACAGTGTCCCTTAACCCTAGGCCTTCAACCGCGGCTGGATTTTCGGTCATGGCTAGGTTGTCTAATCTCTATCGGCGCCGAAATACGACAATGAATCTCCGGACTGCTCAGCTGAAACTTTCTTGTAGGGTTGAGGGGTTTAGAGTTTACGGTAAAGGATTCCTGTCACGCTGCTCAGGGCTTAGAGTAAGGGCCTGGGACACAAGAACAGGAAGTGGAAACGGGACTATCCGGACCCCCAAGCTGACTAGTTCCGAACTACACCTTGGCTCTCGGTGAACGATGGAGACTGGCATCACAGGCACTACATCATTGCAACCATATATAGCTTGATTGACATGAATATGAAAAAATAAGCCACAGTTATTAGGGCCTCTGAAATGCACGTACAAACATTTGGCTTCGGAAGAGAGTAGGATTAGTTACACGACTTCATCTCTTAAACCTATGCCCGAAGCCAGAATCCGAACCGATCACCGAGGGAGCAAGGCCCTACCCTGCGCCCTCGACTGCAGAGGCTTCCAGTGGCTTCTCGGATGCAGCACTCCCCGCTCGTGGCTCCGACGCCTGGCCGGTATAGGGCTTAGAGTTTGGGCTTCGCTTTTAGAGTTTGGGGCTTCGGGCTTCGGGTTTAGAGTTTAGGGTTCAGGGGACTAGTGTTGTGACGAAACCATTGGTATGAAACTCTCCTCCGGTCCTGTTGCTGTGGGGCTTGCTGCTGGTCTTGTTGTTCCTGATGCTGCTGACGTTGCCGCTGCTTCTGCTTTTGCTGCTGCGGCGCGGCTGTTGCTGTGGCCGTTGCAGATACGACTAGTACCCTAGCACTACTCAGTAGTCACAATAACAAGAAATGCAATGTCATGCTCACTAGCTGCCTCGATCTTGGACTTGGATCTTCGAAGCTGTCTGGTTTGGCTGCAGGCAAGCCGGATAAGCATCCCCCGACGAAGAGCAGCACTGCAATAGGCAGGGAATGACCACGATGGAGCAAAACTTTGACAACATGCTTAGTTGCTAGGTTCATAAGCCCCAAAACGTGTACACGTTAAGCTTTATAGTGGGTGGTACTGCTCATGATATAAATCCTGCATGACCCCTAATAAGGAATATACCCATATTTTCCTTATTCTGGGTACTGCCGGATTTATATCATCAACCGTATTATCCGGATCCAAAAACGTGTAAAGTGTATCCACGCAGCTACTAAGGAATCTTCCGGGAGCTTTCGCTTCTTCGCTTCTGAGGTACTAAAAACGGCCGCATGCTGAGCTACGTCAGGGTTTAGGGTTTATCAGCTCGCAACGTCTGAAGTATTGCAGGAAACCTGTAGCAGATTGAACCCTCTTCCAGACAATGCCCACTGCAACATGCGAAAGACGTTCGACCCAACACCGCCAGACTCTAATATAACGGGGCTCAATAGCTTCAGAGCGTTGAATAGCTTTGCTCGTTGTTGCTCGCAACATTGTTCTCGAAAGCCCCTTGGGGCTGAGAGTGACTTGGCCAAAATTATCGACCCCCTTAAAGGAACCCCATGAAGGCCCCTGTTGCTGACGGGTTCGCACCTCGGCCTCAGCCGGAGCGACCTCGTCCTCCTCCTCGAGCTTCAAAGAATCGGTTTTTGTAACCGAATCCGTTTTCGTCACGTCGGCCTTGGGGGACCTAAGCACAGAGGAGGTTTAGGGTTTGGGATTAGGGGCTACTCGAAATGCAAACCTCGAAGCCTGTGAGCATGGATCTGGGTAGAAACACACCGGAATGATCCACCTGCAAACATACTCAGCCGGCCGGGGTGGTGGACGGGTCGTGCACTGTGCACCGTGTGCATGTGTATACATACTGCGCATGTGTACACATGCTGCCGGTCCCTGCATGCCTGCAAGAAAACTCTAGAAGTACGCAACTCTTGGATGTCTCCGCGTTGAAGGCCATAACAAGCAAAGAAATAGCAATGGCTTCTCATCATTGTCATCACCGCAGTCGTCATGATCATGATCATGACCCAACTTATAACAATACAAAACCGTCACGGAAACAATGACGTTAGCAGTCATGATGGAAGCATTATAGCAGCAGCAACTCATACAACCCGAAACTCTTCACCCTTACGCCCAAAACTCCGACTATAATGCAATATTGGGGTCGGACTAGCGAGACAATCATGCTCCCTTACAGTTTCTATATCACTTTTCAAAACTCCTCAACACGAAGCAAGTTCTACTTGTCAAGCCCCTCTATGCAACCCATATACCAGTCCCTATCGCACCCTACAGCCCTGTCTAATGATTCAGGCCCCTATGTTGTACATAGAGTCTCCCGCTCTGGCTCCACACTTCTGCCAGCTGCGTCCTTTCGAGAACGGAGTTTGACATGATCTTTCCGCCCTTGAAAGGAAGCCAAAGGGGTTTAGGGTCTAAGGTTGAGGCTTGGAGCTTGAAGTTTACGGCAGTCCGACGTTACATGATAGGGGCCTTGATATATTGGTTTAAGGTATATTCCTTAATCAAGGGATAATGGGATCTCTAGGATCTCAGAAGGAGGCTTCGCTCCGTGCATTGGCACTTGTCATGCAGTGGGCTCGATCACTTGACACTGTAGTGCCCAAGGCCCACGTTCGAAGTCTTCAGGGCAGTCTTGCTTACGTAGAGGCGGATGGCCTGTGTCAGTTTGCTGCTTCGAGCTGTTCGGAGGTTTGCGCATGCTTGCTTTGTTAAGGTTACGTGTCCCAGACCTGAGGCAGAACGGCAAAATCCACAGGAATCCCGACATGGCCCAAAGGATTGATAGTGAAGGGGGTGCAGTTTGGAAGGTCGACATTTGCACAATAGGGCACGAAGACCCTGCTCATAGAATCCTCAACCCCTCCTGAACCCTAAGCCCAAAACCCTAAACCCTACTTAGAGGATCATGGGACTTAGTAAGTAGGTTATAATTGGGTATAAGTCCCCTAAGTGGGGTTATCCTAATTATAAGCTACTTATAACCTTACTTACTAAGTCCCATGAGCCTCAAGTAAGCCCTATTAAGGCCATGAAGACCACGAGCCGAACCAGCGATCAAGACTGTGGTTGGAAAGCCGCGGAAGCTACAACCGCGATGTGCCCAGATCCTGCGTCGCAAGCCTGCAAGTAGGCGTATCACAATATCGGGATTCAGATGTAGGCGATAGCATCGCGATGATATGATATAGTGAGTATATTACTTACATAGTACACTTTTTAATTTCGGTATCAACGAAAAAGTATGTCAATCCTGTCACCCTAATGCACCTATATTATGCTACTATACTAGAGTTATGCAGGGGCCTTAATGGAACGCCAAAGCTCCTCGTCCAGGTCCCAAATTTTCTGCTTGCCGCGCTTGGCAACCTCCAGAGCCTAGCAGCATGGACATAGCCCGCAGCTTGAAGGTTCAGATATCGGTGCTTTAAAGGGTTCCTATAAGGGTTCCTATAAGGGTTCTATGAAGAGTTTAGGGTTTAGCCCCATATCGGTGCTTCGGAGTTTTGTAGGAAATTTTGGGGTTCCTTATTATATTTATGGTATAGTTTTCCCCCGGACCCTATTCCAACTATTGCGGCTACTACAACAGTCCGGCTGTGGCAGAAATGGTGGCAACAGCTCGCAGCTTTTGGCGCTAGCAAATAGGATGCAGGGCGAAGATCCAACGTCATCATCGTGCGCCGGCGCACTGCAACAAAAATGCAAGACTTTCTGCATCAAGATGCTCTACAGATCTGTGATAAGGCAGGGGGAATCTGCACGTGAGCAGACATGCCCCCTTCTGTGTCACATTCATCCGGGCTTTTGCCGGTAAAACTCGAGCACATCGGCTCCTACGCTGGTTCTACTGAACTCTGTCCCCTGCAGCCCCCGCAGCCACGACCACCTCATCGGAGGTGGTTGCCTGGCAGCTTTTGCACGACAGCCAGCCCCAGTCCTGGTTGCTGAAGGCACTCTCCACATTCGTGCGAGCTGCACTGGCGGCGCTGGCGGCTTGCTCTGAGGCCGATTGGAGGTATGGGGCTGAAGCTTCCGAAATCTTCTGCGCGCCCTGGCGTGCGGCTTCCGTGGCCTTTTGGAACCAGGGCCTCGAGGCGTCGGCCATGCTCTGAACTCCCTGACGCGCCTTTTCGAGGTAAGGCGCGGATGCGTCGGCTACATCCTGGGCACCCTGGCGAGCCTTCTCCATGTAGGGTGCGGATGCATCGCAAGCATCCTTGGCATTCTGGCGAGCCTTCTCCACGTAAGGTGCCGATGCATCAGCGGCATCCTTCGCGCCCTGGCGAGCCTTCTCAATGTAGGGAGCGGATGCATCACACGCATCCTTAGCACCCTGGCGAACCTTCTCCACATAAGGTGCCGATGCATCAGCCGCATCCTGGGCGCCCTGACGAGCTTTCTCGATGTAAGGTGCTGATGCGTCAGCCGCATCCTTTGCGCCTTGGCGAGCCTTCTCAATGTAGGGAGCGGATGCATCGCAAGCATCCTTGGCATTCTGGCGAGCCTTCTCCACGTAAGGTGCCGATGCATCAGCGGCATCCTTCGCGCCCTGGCGAGCCTTCTCAATGTAGGGAGCGGATGCATCACACGCATCCTTAGCACCCTGGCGAACCTTCTCCACATAAGGTGCCGATGCATCAGCCGCATCCTGGGCGCCCTGACGAGCTTTCTCGATGTAAGGTGCTGATGCGTCAGCCGCATCCTTTGCGCCTTGGCGAGCCTTCTCAATGTAGGGAGCGGATGCATCACAAGCATCCTTGGCACCCTGGCGAGCCTGCTCCGCGTAAGGTGCTGAGGCATCCGCCACGTCTTGGGCACCCTGGCGAGCCTTCTCCACGTAAGGTGCCGAGGCATCACCCATATCTTGAGCACCCTGGCGAGCCTGCTCCACATAAGGTGCTGAGGCATCAGCCATATCTTGAGCACCCTGGCGAGCCTGCTCCACATAAGGTGCTGAGGCATCCGCCACGTCCTGGGCACCCTGGCGAGCCTTCTCTACGTAAGGTGCCGAGGCATCAGCCATGTCTTGAGCACCCTGGCGAGCCTGCTCCACGTAAGGTGCTGAGGCATCCGCCATGTCCTGGGCACCCTGGCGAGCCTTGTCCACGTAAGGTGCCGAGGCGTCAGCCATATCTTGAGCACCCTGCTGAGCCTTCTCCACGTAAGGTGCTGAGGCATCTGCCATGTCTTGGGCACCCTGGCGAGCCTTCTCCATGTAAGTTGCCGATGTGTCAGCCGCATTCTGTGCGCCCTCGCGTGCTGCAGCCACCGCTGTATCCGATGCTTTCTCAACATAGCTGGCGGAGGTGTCAGCTACATCTTGAGCTCCCTGGCAAGCAGCCGCGGCTGCATTGCGTGCTGCCTCCGAGGCCTTGTCGACAGTTTCCTTGGCATCTCCCTTCGCCTGCTGCCTGCTCTTCCTGGAGAGTAGAGTGGGAAGACGCATGGCGAGAAAATAAAGGAGACTTGCCGAACTACACCTTAAACCAACGAGAACTGCTGCACTGACTCAGTTTGGGCCAGGAAGGTAAAGCAACGTGCTCAGCACATGACATTGAAAAGTGCACACAGCACAGGAGGATTGGACACTCGCCCTCTCCCTCTTCTGCCTCTATCTCTGTCGTCCCTAGATCTTCTCGATACAGTCTTTACGAAAGGAAGCCCTCCTCACTAAAAGATCGCGCATCACTCCGCCCAACTCCATCGGCCGTGGCTCAGGGGTCGCCTTTTCCGAGCAACACGCTTGCACGCTCCACGCCCCTGCATTTGCGCACACAGTTGAGGGTGGTCTAATCTTACCGCGCCTTGTGCACAAGCTTGTACTCTGCCGCCAGCTCCTGTATGGGGATTCACTGTTCCCGCGCTTAACAACTTTTGGTTCAGACCACGAACGATCTGTCGCGAATCATTCGTCAGCGGGAGCTTTTGCAGCCAGTCCATTGGTCTGCACTACGATTGAATGCTTTGGGGCTTTGCAGGAGCCTACTGAAAGCACTGTTGCATTACAATCCACTTCTGGCTCGGCGATCAGGCATCCCCGATGCACTGTTCAACTTATTGGTTTGCAAGAGAACCTTTGTCCAACAACGCTTTCGGCCTTTGGATTGCCGGATTGCCCCAGCAATGACGACACGGATATGCAAAATGAAGATCATGCTTACAATGCTGATTGTGCTGCTGATGATAAATCCCAGTCGCCATCATGATGATGGTGACTATGACAATTCTTATGGTGCTGATGAAGAAGAAGAGGCGGAAGATGAAGATGGATATGAATATGTTACGTTGGTGACGAAGAAGATGAAGATGAATATGATGCATAATAAGACGAATCTGGAGATAAAGATAAACGCGAAGATAGTGAGTATGATGATGATGACGATGATGATGATGATGATGGAGATGCTGATGGTGATGATGATGATGATGATGACGATGATGACGATAATGGCGATGGAGATGGAGATGGTAATGGAGATGATGGGGATGATGGTGATCGTGGTGCTGATGATGATGATGACGATCACGTCCAGCAGCATCGCACAAGAAGTTCTCCAGTCGAGCGCGTTGTGAGGGGAGCAGGGATCGGTCTCTTCTGCGCCAAGCCACCGAGAACCGCACGAGGCTTTCGGTTTAGGGTTTTGGGTTCTGGGCTCCGATGACTCTGTCGGTAGCTCCTCGTAGTTGATCTGCTTGTGCTTGCTGCCTGCACGAGTTTACGAGTTGAGGAGGGCTGGGTCCGGAGTACGTGGTAACACTGCTCAGGTTTAGGGTTTAGGGTTTAGGGTCCGGAATATGTAGTATGTAGTAGGCAACACGGAGTTAACCTGGCATGTAGTACGCAGTGACCATCTGAGACGTAGTAGCCCGGAGTGCATACCATGTGCAGTACTTGGCAGATGCAGTACGTAGTACATAGCACGTAGTACGTCGCCGTTATTATTATGTTAGGGCTAAACGTCTACTACATTGCTACATGATAGCAGTGGTAAATGCCAATGTTGCAAGCACTGTTGACATTGCCCTATTCTATTGCTACAAGTACTTTCCATCTTCATTCCTAAAAGTGCCATTACCAAGAACGGCACTAAAGCTATGTTTGGTAGCGGTACGATGTGGCTTTGTCATTGAGAATGTTCCTGCGCAACCGCCATGCAAGTACTAGTAGTCGTCGTAGCTATAGTTCTGCTCGTCGTCCTCCACATCGTCGTCGCAGACGTATAGCAGCAGCAGCAGCAGCAGCAGCAGTAAGACTATTTCTGCGACGGCGACTGTTTGTTCTGTCCTTGTTGATCCGTCAAACCTTGCTGCTGTTCTGAGCCTATATGGGAGTTTCCGAAAATTAGGGCTACCTTATTTTGGGGTCCTTCTAATAGGGATCCTACTAGTTAGGGTACTATATTCGGGTCCCTCATTTTCGGAAACTCCTGCATATCCCTAGTATAGTACGGCACCTAATATTTAGGGTTCCCAAAAAGGGACCATAATTTTGACAACCACCCATATTGATGATCTTCTACATGGGAGTTTCCAATTTCCAAAATAGGGAACCCTAATATTTAGTCCCCTAAAGAGTAGGATCTAAACCCTAAACCCCTAAACTCCTATGCCTCATGATCCTCCAACTATATTTATAACCCCACTTAATGTACTTATAACCTTACTTACTAAGCCCCATGATCCTCCAAGTATGCCCCAAGAGCCGAAGGGTTGCCTGGCGCCGCCCCGAAGGTGCAGGAGAGACTCGGGGCACCCCGACTCAGCGAAAACCTTCACAGGGGAGTTTCCGAAAATTAGGGGTACCCCTTATTTTGGGGTCGTGATAATAAGGATCCTACTATTTAGGGTACCATATTAGGGTCCCTTATTTTCGAAAACTCCCACAGGGAGGCAGGGCGCGGAAGCCGGGGCTGGACAATATGGTTGATGATATAAGTCCTGCGTTATCCATGATAAGGAATATACCATAATTCCCAGAGTTTAGGGTCCTTCAGGTAATGCAGGATTTATATCATCAACCGTAGTACGAGAAAGACTGTAGCATATTGACTGAAAGTCGGGATATGGGAAGAGACATTCCAAAAGCCACACGCAAACCAAGACAAGGTCTTTGTTTGCGGGATCGCGCATGATGCTGGAGCTTTATTAGGGAGAACGCGAATCCACGAGTGTCAAATTTCAATAAACTGCCTAGGGTGTTAGAATGGGGCTTTCTCGGAAAAACAGCTATACTGCAGAACCCTAAGGGAATAGTATTACGGTCGATGATATAAAATCCTGCATTACCCATGATAAGGAATATATGGGAACTATGGTACTGTATATTCCTCATTGTGGGTCATGCAGGATTTATATCAACCGTAGCACTTGTTCAGGCTTCTAGATTCGTCTCATTTCGGCACTTTCATGGTAGGAAACCCGGATCCTGCAGACCCAGAAACATAAACCGCCGCCTAATATAGGGGCCTCAATAGTTAGAATAGGGTTCCCTTTAAAGGGATCTCTTAGGGCAACCATAAGGGATCTATAAGGGTACTATAATATAAGGGCCGTAATAGTTAGAATAGGGTTTTGGGGCCCATTGTACTATAACTATAATTAGGAACCCCCAAAGCAGTATTGGTAGACATTAGGGCCCTATATTACACCCCCCCACCCCTTAAACCCCAAGCCCTGAAATCGTAAAGCTTCAACGGTGCAACCCTACTTTCGTATACAGCATCCGAAAAGCTCATACAAAATGTGTGAAAAGATTTCAATACTTTCAATGCCCTCTACGAAACGCTCGCAAGACCTACTCGAAGGCAAAAGATAACCTCAACCCACCCTTTCAAACCCTAAACCCTGAACCCTAAAACCCTAAACCCCTAAGCCCTAAACCCCTAAGCCACTAAACCCTAAACCCCTAAACCCCTAAACCCCTAAACCCCTGAGCCCTAAACCCCTAAGCCACTAAACCCTAAACCCTAAAATAAACCCTAAACCCCGAAACCCTAAAACCCCTAAGCCACTGAACCCTAAACCCTAAACCCTGAACCACTAGAACCCTAAACCCCTAAACCCTAAACCCCTAAGCCACTAAACCTAAAAGCCACTAAACCCTAAACTTTTCGGCCCAAGAGCCGTTTGCGCGGCGGCCGTGGCTCTGCGCTGGCGCTGCGAGTCGTGTCCTCGCGGCTGCGGGTGAAGGGAATGGACTGGGCCTGGAACAGGAGGAGGCGTCGTAGTAGTAGTTGTAGTAGTAGGAGTAGGAGTAGTAGGAGTAGAGTAGGAGTAGAAGTAGGAGTGGGAGGAGTAGGAGTAGGAGTAGGAGCAGGAGGGAGTAGGAGTACGAGTAGGAGTAGTAGGAGTGGGCGTGGGAGTGGGAGTGGGAGTGGGAGTGGGAGTGGGAGTGGGAGTAGGAGTATTAGTAGTAGTAGTAGTCGTCGTCGTCGTCGTCGTTCGTCGTCGTAGTCGTCGCGGTCCTGGTAGTCGTCTTAGTGGTCGTAGTCGTTGTAGTAGTCGTAGTAGTCGTAGTAGTCGTAGTAGTCGTAGTAGTCGTAGTAGTCGTAGTAATCGTAGTAGTCGTACCAGTCCACTAGGTGTAGGGGTAGGGCTTGGGGTGGTGGTGGTAGCCGAGTGCTGGCGGCAGCAGTAGGGGTAGGGGTAGTGGCAACAGTGGTAGTGGCAACAGTAGTGGTAGTAGTAGGGGTACGGTGTACCCGGTGTAGCGGTAGCGGCAGCGGCAGCGATTGCGCCGGCGGTAAAAGTGGGGGTAGCCGCAGAAGTAGCGGTGGTAGTGGTAGTCGTAGTTGTGGTTGTAGCGTTAGCGGTAGTTATACTTGAGGGCTAGAGCAGGAGTAGTAGGAAGGGCAGCAGCAGCAGCAATGGCGACAGTAGTACACAGAAATAGTAGGAGCACTACTAGCAGGTCCCGCACACGCAGTAAGGCAATTTCTATGTCTGCATGAAATCAGGATACCACAGAAATTAGCACGAGAACACCTTACAGCCCTGATTGCAGCTCGAGGACTCGCCAGGCTAGGATGTAGCGTCCACTTGAAAAGCCAGGAGGCTTAGCCAGTGGAGAAAAGCGACCACCCCCCTTTATGCTGGTATAATCACTCGCTTTCCTGGTCCGCTGAGCCTCAGAGTAGGTGCTCGGTAGTGTTTCACTGGGTGGTTTTAGGCTGCTTCCTTCAGCAATGCAGAGGCCATAGTAGCTAGAGGCACCACGATGGCTAGGACGATGATGACGATTTGAATGATGACCACGGTCATCTACTGATGCTGGCCTAGTAATCATAACCGGAACAACAGCAGCAATGACAAGCAACAATCTAGCAAGAACAAAGCCAGCAACAGAAAGCCTGAGAATAGTGACGGTAGCAACATTGTCCACCCTAAACCCTCAACCCTAGACCCTAATAGTGCATAGTCCGCAGGTTTTTGGTTTCTTGCGCAAAGGCGACCAAGCCACTTTGGCCGGCCCGATCCGCAGAACGATCTGAGGGAGTTTCTCAAACCAATGAAACCCTAAATCCGGGCTTCTGTATTAGGCCCTTAACCCTAACCCCTAAGATGTTTCCCCAATGACTCACATCACCGACTTCCGGTGCTTCTTGAAAAACTCCCATAAAGGACTGGAGTTGCGGAGGGGTCCCGATGTGCATCCCGTGGGCCGGGATGTGGGGCAGAGTGCAGGGCTGGCTGCTTAGGCTTAGGGCTTTCGGGTTTATGCGGTTTAGGGTTTAGGATTTAGGGTTTCGGGTTGATGCTGCAGTATTTAGGGCTTCAGGTTTAGGGTTCTACCTGTGGGTTAGGGGTCAACGAATGAATGGTTACAGGCTGTAGCCTGGACTCAAGGTTGAGAGTTCAGTGTGGGTTGAGGGTTTAGGACCCATTGCTTAGGACTTAGGAGCTTGGGGATGGGGATTGAAGGTTTCATATTCAGGGCAGGGGTTCAGGATTCAGCATGGGACCCGACCTCAATCACTAGCCACTCTGTTCGAACAAGTTGGCTGTGCAGCCAGGCCAGAATCGCTGGATGGAGCCACAGAAGCTTTTTCGGCTTCCCAGAGCCCTAAACTCTAAACCCCAAACCTGATGCTAGAGTATTCGATGGTATTGCAGAGAGGGTTTTTACAAAAACCTCAGTGATAGGTATCCTATCACCATTGCTTTCAAGCTTTCTGATCGAGCGACGCTGGCTCTGCTGCAGAAGCCCTGGCTTTGGAGCCGAACGGCCCCGTTCGCCTCTTCGAATTCTGACTTGCGTTGGCTCTCCTGCATTCCTTTTGGGGGTTTAGGGTTTAGGGTTTAGGGTTTAGGGTTTGGGCTTAGGGGTATTCCTTTTGGGGCTTAGGGTTTGGGGTTTAGGGTTTACGGTTTAGAGTTTGGGCTTAGGGGTATTCCTTTTGGGGGAGGGGTGTAAGGGTCTAAGGATGTCGGGTTTAGGGGTTTAGGGTCTATACGGTCTAGGGTCTAGGGGCTTAGGGCTGTAGGGTCTAGGTTGGGCTTTCAGGCGTTTCATGGAGAGAGCCCCGGAACCCTACACCCTTAAAACGCAAGCCCAGACCCTGCTCCCTACACCCGAGAGTCGAAACGGAAACCCACAACGACTCTAAACGCCACTCCTGATCCGCTCTGAACATCCTGTATCGTTCAGGGAGTAGAACGTTCGCTCACGCATGTATGGGCGGTAGAGGGGTTTGAATACTGCTGTCACTTCTTGGCTATTTCGAGGCTTTGTGGCTCCCTAAATCCTAACCTAAACCTGTACGCCCTAAACCCTAGACCCTAAATTGCGCAGGGAAAGGCTTTGAAGGTCGACTTATTACTTCGGGGATCAAGATATTACGACAAAGAGCAATCAAAGTCTGCTGTCTGCTACTGCGTGTACATCACCAAGGTTGGTCCTGCGCTTTCTGTTGTGATTTTGGGGACGCAGGCTCTTAGAGTAGAAACTGATGCTTCAGTTTGGGAATGGGATCCGGGTCCAGGACCAACCTTGCCACATCTTGGCATATTGTACAGCCTCACCCTCTCAACATGTCCAGCCGTGCTTCGGCGTCATGACGGCAAAAAGCAGCTGTGAGTCATCCGCGTCTCGTGCAGAGAGTCTGGAGGGTGGTCTGAGTCTAGGGCTTGAATGCCTCCGGATTAAATTCTCACCTAAACCCTAAACCCTAAACCCAAACTCCTAAACCCTAAACCCTCAACTGATTTCCCGAAACAAGCTGCAAGCTCTGCAACACCCGGACAAAGAGGCCCGAAGAACACCTCCCCTGAGGTCAAGGATTCCCAAAGTATCGTGGTGAGCCCAAGTTAGTGATAGTATAGTAGAGCATGGTATAATATAGTATACTGTAGTATATAGTATAGTAGAGTGCGGTATAACATAGTAGAGTATACTATAGTGTAGTATAGTATAGGCCTCCTTACCTTGGAGCTTACCAGCTCTCAGACTTGCAGAGTCAGAGTCAGGTTCAGGGCTTAATTAGCCTTCTAGGTTCAGGGCTAATTAGCCTTGTAGCGTCTTCGGGTTTACGCGCTGGAAACGGTCTGGCCCCCTTTCTTAAAGAGGTCTTCGTCTACGCCGGCGAGGGAAACTTTGGCACGCGCGGAGCCGCGCTTGCGCCCGGAAGTGCAGAGAGTGAGTTCGCAGTATCCCATGGCCCATCATGCAAAGTTGGGGCACTGAGCTCATATAAAATAACATGATGCAAGATAGTTTGATATGCTATGCTATTATGCTATGCTATACTACACTATACACTCAAAACTAAACCTTAAACACCTCGACCCTAAACCCTCTACTGGGCCATGCGATCCCGGGGGCATGAAAACATTGCCCTAAACCTTCAGGTTCAGGCTTCGGGTCCTCTTGAAGGACAAGGATAACCTCGGCTTCGGATGAGACGTTGAGGGCTTTCTTTGGTGCTGAGGGTTTTGCAGAGTTTATGCATCTTTTAGTGTAGGGGTTCTCTTTCAGGGCTTTGGGTCTAGGATGTACGGCTTGAGGATTAAGCTTCTACTAGGCTTTCTAGAACAAACGGATAAGGCGAAGGATTCAGGTTCTACTAGGTCTTTTCTAGATAAACCTCACAAGGCGCAGGGATCAGGGATCAGGCTTCACTAGGCTTCTCTAGAGACAAACGAATGGGGCTTGGGGATGACGAGTTTTGGGCCAGGGAAACCCTCACAGAGTCGGAGTGGAGGTTTTAGGGTTGAGGGTTTTCGGGGTTTAGGGTTTTAGGGTTTAGGGTTTTAGGGTTTTAGGGTTTAGGGTTTAGGGTTTAGGATTTAGGGTTTTAGGGTTGAGGGTTTAGGGTTTAGGGTTTAGGGTTTTAGGGTTGAGGGCTCAACTACATGTACCAAGGTTTAAGGCAACCGAAGGATCTCTACTTTCGGAATATGTGACGTAGGGGCCTCGGTATTTAGAGCAGAGTTAGAGTATGATAATGTAGACAATCAGAGATCATAGGACCCATTGTTAATGGCCCAATACTACTCTTGGAATCTGTAGACGTCGAGGGTTTGCGGAGAGCTGTTCATGTGCCTTGGAGATCCAATGCATCAGACCCGAACGCAAGAAAAGGATTGGAAAACGCAACCAACTGCCTGGAAGGCCTCCAAGTGTTCAAGCTCTCAGACTAGGTGTCGATTTCAACACTCCCCAGAAATGTTTTTAATTAGGCCTCTATATTAGACAACAAGGGCCACTCCAAATTATCCCAAATCGATACCCAATGCAGGGGCCTTAACAATTAGAACCGGGCTTTGGGGGCTCCTTGCTATAATTATGGTATGATATACCCCCAAACACTATTCTACTTACTAAGGCCCCTACATTAGTCTCTCAAGAAGACCACTGAACTGACCCTGCAGCGCGCCTTAGGCCGTCAGCGATCCTTCACCTTGACTGATGCCTTGGCCGAGCCCAGAGAGCCCAATGCCCCTTTAATTAAGGAATATACCTCAGAAGGGGGATCATATTATGCTTTAAGCTCTATTCCTTAATTAATTAAGGAATATACCTTAAATTAGAAAGGGATCCAGACTATGATTTAGGCTATATTCCTTAATTGAGGGGTTTGGGACTCTCTGGGAGAGACTTGCTCGCAACACCGGCGACCGCTAGTAGAGGCGCTAGGGGCGCAGGATTTAGGGTTCAGGGGAGTGGTCGAGCAGTAGCAGATACAGTCGTACATAAAGACAGGTCATACGTACATGGTACATACAAACCCTAAGCCCTAGACCCTAAACCCTAAACATACACGTAAAAAACCGCAGGGATCCTAGTACCTCCAAGATTCTAGAACCCGCCAAGATTCCCAGACCCTGAACCCAAAACCTTGCTCCTGTTCACGACCCAGGTGATAATACGACCAGAAATTGGAGGCCTCACTAAACACAAAGCTCCAGAAGAGTTGCATATGTTACGTTCCAGAACTCTCAGGGCAAAAAACATCCAAGGGTTTCGCTACTTGGAGGATCATGGGACTTAGTAAGTAAGGGTTATAAGTACCTCAATTGGGGTTATAAGTATAGTTACCCTAATTATAACTCCAGTTACTAAGTCCCATGGTCCTTTAAGTAGTCTAGGTGTCAGAGGAAGGCTTAAAGGACTTATACTCTGATCATTAAGGCTCCTACACGAAACTCCCACCAAAACCCCTTTAAGAACCCTAAACCCTAAACAAAACCCTAGACCCTACACCCTAAACCCCGAACCCTAAACCCTAAACCCCAAACCCTAAACCCTAAACCCGAAACCCTAACCCGATCCTAACCACAAACTAATCCCTAACACGATCCTTGAAACAAAGGCCAGGGCACTAGGCGGCCTGTCGCACCGATCCCGGTCATCTGTGGCCCAGGTCGCCAACTCCTGGCTGAAACTCCTGACAGCGGCTCCAGGGGTACCCTAAATATTAGGTGCCGTATAATAATTTCAGAAGCTGAGACTCTCATAAAATCCTAAAGCAGGGTTTCAGAGGGCGTTTCGGGAGTGCTTAGCTATGAGGAGGGCTTAGGGTGTGGGGGTTTAGGGATGTTTAGGGTACAGGGTTCAGGGTTGAGCCTTGAGGGCAGAGGGTGGATGCTTTCGGGGGTTCGGGCTTCAAGCCTTGAGAGTTTCAGGGATAGGCAAGGTTAGGCTTGAGGGGCCTTTAGTTTGTGTTGGCGGCTTTCCCTCCAAGCAACCCCGAGAACCGCAGCCCTAATCCTCAAACCATCAAAACATCATTGCAGGACTGTTGTCCTCGCTTGGTCAAACCTCAGTGGCGCAGGCTTCGAGATTGGGGCTGCGGCTTGTGCCTAAGCGATGCTTCTGTGTGTTCAGGGCTTAGAGTTTAGGGTTTGGGGGGGTTGGTGTGGTTGAAAGCTATCTATGAAGGCTATGCAAGTAGTGAGATTCCAGACTGTGGCACTCTTAACCCAATGCAAGCCTCCTGCGAAGGTCCCAGAACAGCAGGTTCTCACAGCATGCGGTATGCATGCGAGCTGCATTGTAGGATTCAGGTCCAGGGGTTTGGTTGTAGGGTCGAATTAGGATTCATGTCTTGATGCCTGAACCCTAAACACTAATATAGGGGCCCGAACGATTAGAATAGGATTTTGGGTCCCTTATACTTTATAACAATAATTATAACAAGGAACCCCAAAAAAATGTATTGGTAGTTGCTGAGGCCCCTACAATACTCTTGGCTCTCAACCTCCCAAAGCAGGCAGAAACCTGAAGAAGAACAGAAGAACAGCGGGCCCCGGGCATCTTATCCGCCGTGGATTCAGAAGCTAATGCTACCAAGTATGACAACATCAATACGACTAAATCGGTTTAGGGTTTAGGGCTACTATAAAAACCAACCCTGAATCCTGAGAATGCCTGGCCCCCAAGTCCCCAGCCACACATGGCTGTTCTTTCGGAGCATGTCCAGCGCGACGCGACCCAAGCCTCACAAGGCTCTGAGGTCAAGGCTCAATGATTTTTTGTCTAGTCTTTTGGTGTAGGGACTAGGATTCAAGATCCCTTGTTTTGGGGATTTGGGGTCGCTGGTTTACGGCTCGGAGTTTCGGCTCGGAGGTGCTGTCTCAGCTGCAGGGAAGTTGCTCCCGCCCAGCATTACGGAGCCGGCTCCCCATCGACTCCGGGTTCCGGGCTTGGGGTTTAAGAGTTTAAGGGCTTAGGGTTTGGGGGTTTTGGGATTTAGGGCTTAGGGTTCCGGAGTTTGGATTTGGGGTTTAGGTTTTAAGCTATTTCGAAGTTTAGGGTTTCCCCTAAAGCCTAAACCCCCAAACCCTAAACCTTAAACCCTAACCCCTACTCCGCAAACCCTAAACCCCTACATAAACCATAAACCCCTTCGGGTTTCGGGAGCTTGATTGTGAACACCCCGAGTCTCAGCCCCACAGGGGATCAATCCCACGCCTCGAAAGACCTCCCAAAACCGCAACCCAAAAGACCTCCACCTGGGGTATTGTGAAGGGCTTCAGTTTAACTTACCATGTCTTAGTGTTGCTTAATTCTAAGGGTTCTATAAGGGTCTAGGGGGAAAGGGATTTAAAGTTAAGTTGCCACAAGTGGGATCTACAGTTGAATAATGTGGTTTCCTTATTACGGTAACTTAAACCCAGCAGCCCTCACTGCGACATGCGACAGCCCTGCCATCATGACACCCAAAACGCTTCCACGGCCTAAACCCACAACGAAACCCGAACCCGCCCTGAAACCTCCAAAAAGGAATGCCTAGCAAGTCAGGAACCCCGACATTCCAAAATCCCTTCATTTATAGTATATAGGTTGATGAAAGAATATTCTTAAGTTATAGGGTTTAGGGTTTTAGGAATCCCTTAATTAAGGAATATACCATGAATCTTATGAGGGATGCCACTATAATTTAAGGTATATTCCTTAATTAAGGGATTTTGGAAGGTCTGGGAACACCAAGAGGATGCCAACAACTGCTTCTACTCCCGGGGCTCGAAGATTCGACCCTGCTTTTTCCGGTTGCCGCATTCACTGGAGCAAAATCGGTCCTTTGTGGTATAGTTTAGGGTTTAGGAATTTTTCTGAAGGCCTTTTTGCAACTGCACTAGTCTCTAGCCGTCGCAGGGTTTAGGATTTAGGGGCTAGGGTATGGTATCACACATGCCCTCCTAAATTTTTGAAGGCTACGCAAAGAGCTCTTTGGGGCGTAAAGAAGCCCGGAAATCGCCACTCCAAGCCCAGCCTGACTGCCGTGATCTCGAAGTGTGAGGGGTTGCCTCCTGGAGGCTTCCCAGAGATCCCAAGACCCCGTAGCTAAGGAATACATGCCTTAAACCATAATTTTAAGGGCCCTTTATAATTTAAGGTATATTCCCTAACTAAGGGAGATTGGGATCTCTGAGTTGGCGTCACGGAGGTTTGGGGTGTAGGAGTGCCGTAGAGGGTGCGTCTGCGAGGTTTAAGGCTTCAGCTCGCAAGGTTTAAGCCTGCTGCTTTGGACGTTTACGGCGTTTTAAATCGTTAGGATCTCCGGGCTCTAACTCTACTTACCTTTGGTTAGTAGGGAATGGAGGACTGGGATACAATTATGACTACTATTACTACCATTCTTCCATTCCCTACTAACCAAAGGCAAGTCTAGGGGAAACAGAAATCCTCAACTCTCTTGCCTAGCTTCTGCGTTAGGGGATTTCAGTTGCCCTTGCAGGAACGAACCTTTGCAGTAGAGTACTTATGATAACTCCACACAGAGCCCCTTATAAAAAAAATATGTTTGAGAGAATCTTTGAAGTCCATGAACCCCTAATACCCCTCAAGTCCTATTAAGCGCCGCAATACTCCTACAAAAAACCCTTTGAACATCCTATGAAGGCAACCCTATATTCCTTAGAAAACAACCAAATCCCATAAAAAGAGCCCCACGATGTTCAAGCAAAGACCCTCCAACCCTATGAAGGCCCTCCATTCCGATCTTCCGAGACAGTGCGGCGGATCGGCCTTTGCCTCCCCTTGGTCGAGATAGGCCTCACGCGTTGAGGCGCTTGTTTCCTGTTTCTTTTGTCTTGGGGCTAAGGGTTTACTGTCGGGTTCAAATAGGAGTTGTGCCGGCAGGCTACCCTGGACTGTAATTTGGCCAGCAGTCACGGACTCCGGCGAGAAAAGAATCATGTTCTCTCCTTGCTGTCTCTCTCTTTCGTTGCTGGTCTAGGCTTGCCCCCAACCCGCCTCCGTGCCAGCGCTCTCTCTATCTCACACACGCACTCTCTCTGTCGCTCGCTCTCTCTCTCTCTCTCTCTCTCTCTCTCTCTCTCTCTCCCTTTTTCCATCTGTCTCTCTCGCTCTCCCTCTCTTTGTCGCTCTCTCTTCTTTTTCTCCCAGGCTTAAAGGGCGAATCATAAGGCACCCTCGGCACTAGGCCCGCCCGTGTTTTACGGGCTGTACAGAGGGGAGTGACAACTGAAACTGCACTATTGATCTCTCTCTCTCTCTCTCTCTCTCTCTCTTTATCTCTTTCTCGATTCTGGTATGCACCTAACTCAGTGGCTCTCGGGTGTCCACATGTGTAGATGTATGTATGTATGTATGTATGTAGGTATGTATGTATGACATACAGATACATGTATGTGCATATGTACATGCACACACACACACACACACCCACATACGTCCGAAGCTGTCTGTCTGCATGCCTGTACGAATACTTTTAGGCATGCAAGTTGCAAGCATGTAAGAACTCCTGCAAATATGCACATGCCCCCCCGGGCCCCCCCTTATCAAAGGCTGATTAACTACCCCCCCCCCCCCCCCAACATCGCTTAAGGCCCCCCACACCCCCATCCCCCATATACACACCAGCGCGTGCCTCGAAGGTGAGGAGAAGTGCCTCCGTCATCTCTTCGAGCTCCTTGACCTTATAGCATATGGCATTATGGTGTTATACTATAGCTTATGCTTTTGCTCTTGAACATAGAACCCCCGATTTACATGTAATGGGTGAGATAACAGCAGCAGCAGCAGCAACAACAACAACAATAACAACAACAGCAACCGCAGCAGCAACACGCTAAACGCACCCTAAACCCTTAACCCTAAACCCGCAAACGCTAAACCCCACACCATAAACTCCTAAACCCTAAACCCTAAGCTGAACACATTACCACCGCTGTCCTGAAACTGCCGTCCGAAACCTCTGAGCCTACGGCAAAGCTCGCAATGTCGTCATTCTCAGCTGGATCCTCCCACGGACAATTTCGGAGATTAAGGATGAGGGCTTTGAAGTTCTAGAGTTTAGGTTTAAGGTTTTGAGGTTTCGGGGTTTGGGGCACTAGGGTTTTACGGCTTCGTGCTATGGGCTTGTGGAGTTTAGAGTTTGGGACTTCGCAAAAGGGAGACAGGAGGTTCGACGTGCGCGGCCTTCCGAGAGTTTCAAGACTCACACCGGGTCTTAGGCTTTAGGGCTTAGGGTTTAGGGTTTAGGGCCGTTTGGGAGCTTAAGGGTCAAAGATGTTGAGAATTTTACGAATGTAAGCAATCAGTTCACATCCACCAGTGCTGAGACCCCAACTTGAACACGGGAGATGACGATGCTCACCTCATATAGGGGCCTTAATCATCAGAATAGGGTTTTGGGGTATATTATAATAAGGAGCCCCAAAAAATTGTATAGGTAATTATTTAGGCCCATATATTAAGCTCCTCCCGAGGCCTTTGACGGTAAGTTCTTGATGATCGGAGGCAAATCGGAGTTTCCGACAATAGGGGACCCAAAACTCGCAATCCAAACTTCATGACTTCAGAAAACATCACTAGCGTTTTGCTCGGGCATCGCTTCATCTCCTCGACACCTTCGCGGGGATTTAGAATGCAGGCTGTTGAGTGCAGCCTGACAAACCATTACAAAACCCCGAGAAAGCCGTGCTTAAAGCCTTTACAAACTCGCTGTAAAACCTATTGAAAACCTGTTCTGCTGCCGCCTCGTCGTCATCCTCCTCGAACTCGCCACCGACAAAGCGGTCGCTGGACGGAGCCCTGCAAGTAGTATCTGTATACTTGGATGTATGTATCAGCGGCAGCAACAGCAGCAGCACCGGCATAGCATTGATGTAGCAGCAGTAGCAGAACAGCTGCTATTGCTGCAGTTGTTGCTGCTGCTTTAGTTTTAGTACAAGCTGCCGGTCAGCGAAATCGCCAGTCCGAGCCTCACGACTTCACCCGTTATGGGTCGCGGCAGCCGCCTGCCACGGGAACCACAAGCGCTTGGAAATGGATTTTCGGGAGCTGCGGTGTAGGTTTTTAAGCTGCTAGGCCGCTAACCCCTGCCGAAAGCCTGAAACCCTAAACCCTAAACCCTCAACCCTAAGGCATGACTGAACTCGGGCATGAGGAGATTCAACACTACCACCTTCAATTCTGCGCACTTCGCAGACGGAATGCAACATGGATAATTACTCTAGTTTGAGATCCCCGGTCAGGACAGCCGGAAAACCTTCGACACATCCCCTTACATCACGTGCGAAAGAGATTCTCACATTTCAAAACTCGGGTTGTGCTCGAAAAGCTGTGCACCTTTCAGCATGTCCGGACCACCAAGAAGCAAACAGGACCCTCGATCTTCATGGAGAGCGTGAAAGCCGAAACCCTCAACACTTGCAGCCTCTCAACCAGCAAAGCTCACATCCGTACGCCCCAACCAGCCATCATCCCAAAGCCTAAACCCGACCTGAAACGCAGGTTAAACGGGGCCCGGAGCTCCGCCACAACCCCAAAACCCCTGAACCCTCTAAGCCTTAACCCCAAACCCCTAAACCCCTGAACTCCCCTAAACCCCCAAACTTGAGCCCCTGAACCCATGAATGAACCCCTAAACCCTAAACCCCTAAACCCCTGAACCCATGAATGAACACCAAACCCTAAACCCCCTGAACCCCTAAACCCTAAGTAGGCCCCAAAACGCTGGCTTAGAGCCTACGGGAGGAGCTGCTTGGCAGGCTACCCGGCTCCTTCCAAGGGACTTCAATGCTGTAATGTATGATATAGTCTAATAAAGTAGAATATAATAGAATCAAGCACAGTATACTTGATATTACAGTTTATAGTATTTGTATACTACCGTACGATAGCGTATAATATAGTTTATAATGACATATGAATCGCAACAGAGGGAGACAGGTGGGGCTTCCAGGGTGCGGGGTTTAGGTGGGGCTCTGAGTAATGTTAGGGTTTCGCGGTCTCAAGCTGAGGTCCTAAGGTTTAGAATTCAGGATCAGTAGTCATAGCCATGAAACAACCAGTCTTCACTCTTGTTCCTGGTGCTGCGTGTATGTATATATATATATATATATGACTTGCGTATATGTATGTACATGGGCACACACACACAGATGTATGCATTCTAGGGTCTGACTTCATGTTGCTCGTACAGCAAGGAACGGGCTCTTCCCAAGCCGAGGCCCGACACCGCGACTACGGAAACACCCTTAGGGACCCAAAAAAGCACATAAGCATAAGCATTTTATAGGGATATCCTACCTTAACTGGGCTTCATTATAACGGGGTTCATAATGGGATCCTATCCTAATGTTTGCCTATGTGCTTTTTGGGGCCCTAAACCCGTGTCCTTGCTGTAAAAGCGGGCTCTCTGCGGCGTGAGCGGGGAGAGGTTCGTGTGGCCATGCTCCTGACGAACATGGAGAGAATTTCGTCAACATTACGAGGGTATGAGATCTGTGTGCTTAGGGTGGTTCATTCCCGAAAATCTCCTTGCCAAGCAGCTCCCCTGTGGGAGAGCAGCAAACATGTAAAGGCTAGCCTAGCAGTCTTGAACTGCGGCCTCGCAAAGAATGTATAATCGAGAAGGAAAAGGCGAACATCATCCGGATAATCTCGAATTGGCATAACACATGGACCTTCATTCCTTTCCATCAACACATTTGTGTTTTGGGCAGGGTCGTAGTGGACACAACAGCACCTGCCAGTTCCTAGCTGTTGCCTCTGATCACAAGCATCCGCATGTTTCTGCCTCCTTCCTCTCTTGGGGGGATCTGTGTCTTTCTCGTTCTCTGTCTGGCGAGTGTCCCGATTCTGCAAACGATCAATCACCCCTATCATGCCCTATCTATCTCCAGCTCCCTCGATCGCTCAATACTTGCTTGCAAAAACAGCCTGCAATGACCCAACACCACGATGCAAAAGTCAGGCCTTGCCAAAATCTAGGTCTAGGTCCACACGATCCGAAGTTCCATGGAGGACGTCAACCGCACTTGCACAAACAGCCCCGATCCATCCCATTCCTCCATTCCCTACTAAGCAAAGGTAGGATCAGAACCGTTTGTGTGAACCCTTAACCCTAAACCCTAAACCCCAAACCCTAAACCCTAAACCCTAAACCCTAAACCCCAAACCCTAAACCCCCCTTTCCACGGCGCCTCGGCTCTCTGCTGAAGCCTTCGCATCCTCGCCAGGTAGAGCTCCCGTTGGTACCTGGGCTGTCAGGAGACTTCTTTGTGTTGCTCAGTGGTGGACTAGTAGTAGTAGTAGTAGTAGTAGTAGTAGTAGTAGTAGTAGTAGTAGTAGTAGTAGTAGTAGTAGTAGTAGTAGTAGTAGTAGTAGGAGCATCCATGGGGCTTCATAAACCCAAGACTTTGTGGTAGTAGTCGTCGTTGTCGTCCTCGTGGTCGTCGTGGTGGCGGGGGTGGTCGTCGTCGTGGTCGCAGTAGCAGTAGCAGTGGCAGTGGCACTTGCACTGGTAGTGGTAGTGGTAGTGGTAATACGTGTTGTAAGATGATATCCTGTGACTACATCTGGCCACCCAGTCGGACACGGCAAGCGACAGCGTTGAAGCCGTACTCAGTAGATCAAGGACAAGGTAACCGTAAAGCATAGAAATGGTGAAACACACGGCCAACTGCACCAAAGCGTCACACAGGTGAAAAAATCGCAAGCACGGATGAATGGTGAACAGTTGGCGGGGGTTGGTAATGCATCGCCCTCCAAGAGTCGTGCAGGCTGATCATCATTGCATATAGCAGTTTTCGCAGGCATCTGCTTGCTTGCTTTGCCGCATTGCTAGTGTATACAAGTATACCGACCAGTATACCGACATTTACCGCTTAATGCAGATGCACAACTGGTATTGACAGTCGGTTTACAAAGCTTTTCAACTCAAGCTGATATACATATCTGTAGATGAACACTACATGCAAGTATGTACTTACAGGTAGCAAAATCCACCAGCACGTGTACACGGATGTTTGCGCCGAGGTAATGACAAGCGAGGCTGCACAATGACATCCAGTCAGTTACAATGTTGCCAGATGCTGTCCGGTGAGACATACACAGATGGATAGATTCATGCATACATGCCGACAGGCACATACATGGATGCATGCATACATACATACATTCAGTCGCGCTCACACAGAGCCAGTGAGAGACCGAATCCACAAAACTACGACAATTTACAAGAGCAATATAACCGTTGCACAAGACTAATGTTCAAACCAGTCATCCCACCAGCAGTAGCACCAGCAGTGGAAACAGGAGGAACATCAACAAACAATTTTCGTCTCATGTAAGGATGTCTACAAGTATACAGCCTCATTATACAACGAGCTACAAAATCAAACATGCTAAGAGCATCGGGTAACACCACAACAACAGGCTAAAACATCAAAGACGTGAGATGAGCGCTTCGGAGCTCCTCTGGAAGCAGACGTAGCGTCAGATACGGATAGTTGTCAAAATAATGGCCCCTTGTTGGGTACCCTAAATAGTAGGTGCCGTATTATAATAGGGATCCAAAAAGGGACCATAAATTTTGACAACCACCCATTCGCGCTTGGGCGTGCAGGGGCTTTGAGTTACGGCCTCATGGGCTTTCTTCTCTTGGCTTCCCAAGTTGAAGGGCACAGACCCTCAGGCTGCTACAAGAGTCGGCAAAGAAGATCTCCTGAGAGGCTTTGCTTTCCTTGGGCCTCAAGCGCTTTCCGGAGCCCTTTGATACCTCTAATCCAGAGGCCCTAAAAATTAGAATAGGGTTTCGGTAGGGTTTTGGTGCCCATTATACTATACATGTAATAACGAACCCCAACATATTATTGGCAGTTATTTGGGCCCCTATAATACCTTGTCAGCCAGGGCGCTGTATTGTGAAGGAATTTGTGATCACAGCAATGCACACCTCAGCTTGGATTCCGGGCTTTTTGGGTGAGGGCCTGTTCTTAGGGTGAGTCATCATAAGAACGAGAAATAATGCCAACACCTACGTTAAAAGCCAGTTGCACAAGTATGACTTTAGGTGCTAGCGGTAGCGTTAGTAGTAGTAGTAGTAGTAGTAGTAGTAGTAGTAGTAGTAGTAGTAGTAGTAGTAGTAGTAGTAGTAGTAGCAGTGGCAGTAGGAGTAGGATCAGTCG